GTGCTTCTGCCAAATGTGGCATAACTGACTGATCCAACATGACAGCTAAACAAAGAAGCCAGGGAAATGCGTGGTGTGAGTACTTGAAGCCTCTGCCAAAGGTGACTGAGCCTGCCCTGCCCTGAGATGTTCTTCTCTAAAAGCAAACTTCAGAGCTTCCTGTGGCCTCAGAGAAATCAATGAAGTTTACAAGGAAACTCCAACCCTGAAGTAAATGCAAAGACCTCTTGGACCAAGCAGACTCTTTGGACAGCTGAAATTGGTACGGGTGAATCTGAGAATATGCTGAAGCAGATAGTCACCCATAGGTGCGTACCTTTGGACCTCACTGGTAAGCTCTAATGACAGGAAAGGGGGCAGAAAAGAAAAGTATCTCTTTGAGTGACTGATTGCTAACTCCTTGCTGTCCATGCCAAGTCCTGGATGAGAGAAGAAGGTATGACCTGATGGGCCTCCATACCTGGAGAATTAACCTGAGAGTCAGCAGCCAGGAGTCCTTCAAATAGTTGTGTTCCTGCCTCAGGGAAGAACTTTGTTTCTGATTTCCAGAATAAATGAACTTTCTGCAAACACAGGACAACATTACCCTGTTGTGAAAATTACTAAGGAGGAACCAAAGTGTACAGAGATACATCATGTTGGTTTGACTTAATGCGATTATTTATCTTCTAGGATACTCATGTTGTTTTCAAATGCCAAACCTCACAAATGCATGCTGATGCTAATGGTTATCTTAGCTTTGTGGGTCATTTACTTCACTTCACCAGGCCACACAAAGGTAGGAATTGTCTCAGATTTTTTTCAGAATTTCATAGATAGTCACAGTGACTTTATTTGAATGTTCCCCATTATCGGGGCAAGAAATGAAAGTTAAGCTCGGCACGGTAGAGCAAATCTATAATCCCAGTGGCTTGGGAGGTTGAAACAGGAAGATCACAAGTCCAAAGTCAAGCTCAGCAAAAGCAAGGCACTGAGCAACTCAGTGAGACCCAGTCTCTAAATAAGACATAAAATAGGACTTGGGATGTGGTTCAGTGAGCAAGTGCCCCTGAGTTCAATCCCCAGTACCAAAAAAAAAAAAAAAGAAAGAAAGAAAGAAAAGAAATGTTTAAAACATGTGATCTTAGCAGATAATGTGGAGGAGAGGGTTCTCTGTTCAGCATTAGTTCTTTGACAATATATGCACAATTACTGTTTGTTTTGGAGACAGGTGAATCTCTGTACCACTTGGCACTGCCAAGCATCCCACCTCAAGGTTCTCTCCTCCCTTGGCCTTGGATATTCTAATTCAATTAAATCTCTATTTCAGTTCTCTATCATTATCTCAGGGTTTAAATTTTTTTTAATTATCATTTTCTGAGTAGCCCAGTTAACATTTCTCACATTTCCCCTTTCTGCAGTTTTTCTTAACTGATCTTGCTTCCAGTTTCTCTTCCTTCCGTCCATTTAGTACACCTTTTTATTTAATACTAAAATCAGCCCATACAACCTCTTTGCATTCTTCTTATTCTGCTTGACTTCTTATGTTGCAATACTACTTTTCACTTTCACTATACTATATAATTTATTGATTTATGGTGTTCATTGATTATTATCTATCTTGGTCTCCAGGAAGGCAAGAATCTACATATTATTCATTCATTAACAGTGTCTGGCATACTGTAGATGCTTAATGAATGGTAAATAACTAAGTAAGGAAAGACTGTTTGGAGATCTGATCTGAGAGGTAATGTGACTTGAAATAAGGTCCTAATAATAAAAAGGGAGAAAAGTCAGTGAATTTAACAATGGAATTGACAGCAAGAGTGACTGACTGTGGGAGGGGAGGAGTTGGGGCTAACCAGGCATTATATTCCAGGTTTGTACAACTGCTTGGCTGGTGAGGCCGTTTATTGAAGTTCTCCTACCACACTGGGAGAAATATATTTGGAGGAGAGAAGATAAAGTTAGCTATGAGTAGTCTAGGTCTAGGTCCATTATAGTGATGTAAGTGAAGATGTTGCTTCTATATATTGTAGAATAAATAGACCTAAGGCTGAAAAAGACCTGGCTTAGAAAATATTAGATTTAGAAAGTATTAGACTATAAATAGCAGCTGAAGTCACTGGAGTCTGAGACATTCCCGTGGGTGAGCTGTAGAGTGAGAAGAAAAAGTTTGTTAATGACATAACTCTGAGGAGCAAAATAAGAAGAAGGCTGAGGAGAGAGTGAGAGAGAATGGGGATAAAAGAGATTTCTTGAGACACTTGATTGGTAGGGTACAGGACAAACAAAAGGTACGGTAGCCATTAAAGGAGAATAAGGGGCTTAAATGTTTTCTCTCCATAATATGGGAGACATTATAATACATTTAAATTTTTACAAAAGAAGCTGACAGAAAAAAAGTATAGAAAGTAGGAAAGAAAAAGTGTGATTGTACTTAAGTTGGGCAGGATTACCAGAAGTTGAATTGCCATATGTCATATGACGTCTGAGACCTTCAGAAGCAAAAAGAATCTAGGTGTTAGAGGATCTGCCTCCATGGATCTTGCCATGTACCTAGAGGAAGTCAGGGCTTCAGTAATGAAGTGAACTAGAAGCCAGGTCCTTCAAAATCTTTGGCAAGTGAATGGAAGATATTGGATGAGAAAATGAAAGAGAAAAGGATTATGTACTAACTTGGTGATATATGGTTAGATGAATCAAGGGGAGCAAAGGTTTTCTAAAAAGGGTCCATATGTATATTAATATATGTATATATGTGAAGTATATGTATGTATATATGAGAAATTTGTGTCTGTGCACATGTGTATATTTGTATAAAACCCTTGTCTTAGTCTGTTTGTGATGCTCTAACAATGTCAGAGACTGAGTGGTTTATAAAGAACTGAAATTTATTTAACATTTCTGGAAGCCAGGAAGTCTAAGACCAAGGCACTGGCAGATTCAATATCCGGTGAGAACCTGCTTCCTGGTTCACAGACAGTCATCTTCTCATTGTGTCCTCATGTGGTGGAAGGGGCAAATGAGCTCTCCAGGATCTCTTTTATTTTTGTTTTGTTTCTCTGCTGTGTCTTATTTTATAAAAGCACTAATCTCATTCATAAGGGCCCTACTGCCTTGTCTAATCACCTCCCTAAAGTTCTCTACCTCCTGAAAGCATTTCACTGCAGGATACAGCTACAATATATGAATATTTTTTGATGGGGATACCTACAAACATTCCACATGGCAATCCTAGTTTGTGTGTGTGTGTGTGTTTATGTTTTAACAGGTTGTTAAAAGAGTGAGGTAACTGGGGCAATTCAGAAAAAAATACATTAGTAAAACAACTATTGGAAGAAAAAAAATTTGAAAACATACTGATATTAAAATAAATGTAATAGTAATTTTCCATTTTCACTGGTCGAATTTAAAATCAGTTTTATTAACAGTGTTGAATAACTTAATCAAAAATTTAAATTGAGGGGCTGGTCTTGTGGGTCAGAGGAAGAGAGCTCACCTAGCATGCATGAGACACTGGCTTTGATCCTCAACACCACATAAAAATAAAATAAAAGTATTGTGTCCATCTACAACTAAAAAATAAATGTTTAAAAAAATGTAACTGTGATATATGAGGATAATTCCTTTCTCTAAGTAACCCTTGGGTTATCCAGAATCATTAATTAGAAGTTGAATTTTGTATGACCCTTTCATCCAAACAGCTATCTAATTATAGACTAAGACGTACATGATGCTGTGTAATTATGTGGGCACAGTTCAATATCTTGTTCCAGGAAAATCTGGACAAAAGTTGTAACAGAGGAAATACTAGGTTCAATATATATATCAAACAGCAGTCTATTGTTAGAAAATACAACAAAGCAAAAATCAAACAAGTCAATGAACATCAGGGGTAGGCTTCTAACCCTGGTTCCCCTGAGCGATTTTAGTCTGTTCTCATGTAGGCCTCTGGTAAGTGGCCTCTCTGGCATGGGAAACTCCTGGAACCTGAACAGGTTTTAAATTGGTAGAAACATTCCCTCTAGTTACTTCATTATGCAGATACATATGGTAGTCTTTATTTTTAGGTAGATAAATATTTCAATTGACTAAGTCTCTTACTTTAGGTAAGAAACATTATTTATAGCCCTTACATTCTATTTGCTAGACTGATCAATGAGATATTGATGTAACATAAAGGTAGTCTTACGTATTGCTGATGATAATATAAAATATATCTTTAGAATTCACCAGTCAAAATGAATAAAACTATTCTTTAATATTTACTTCGGTAACAAATGATCTAGTAATTTCATCTTCAGGAATCTGTCATGAAGATGTAATCATGAATCCTTATATGAAAGGGTAGAAAATATTCAAGTGTTAAGTAAAATGAAAAGAAGTATATATAATCCAATTATCCAATATCATAAGCTGTGCACCTGTGTTACATGTTATTGATGGAATGTTATGCGACAATTAAAAATAATGGTCATAAAAATTATGTAACAATATTAAAACATTTATAGTACATGATGTTACTTGCAAAAGTATTAAAGCCACATATATAATATGATTACAAATAGGTAAAACATACATATGACAGGAAAAGAATGAAAATATTAAAATATACAGTATTAAAAGGACAGCAAAACTTATGATGATATTTTATAATATTTGCTCTGTTTTTCATATTGTGTATAATATGGTTATAAGATTTTTATAAGGAAAACATAAATGAAAAGATGGCAAAGTGAAAACAATAAAATCAAATAATGAAAATACAGATATTTATTTTATCCAGTTACTTTATAAGCCAGTGACCCCCAAAGAAACTATCTGTTGGCAGCAGAGGAAGTCACATTACCTGGAAATCAATTCCTATAATTTCATAAGTGAAAACTAGTTTGAATTCATCACTGATATGTAACTTAATCATGTGGAAATTTATAAAATGAATCATGCTAATTTATATTGAAAAGCAAGCCTTATTATCTGTTGGTAGTAAATATATCCTTTTCTCCTCAATTCTTCAGTTCTCATTCAGTTTGAGAAACCGTATTGCTAAGAAACAAGGGGAAACTTCACCAACAGAAACTGAGCTGAAAATAAAGGAGATCCTGGGGAAACTAGACCAGCTGATCCCGCCCAGACCCTTCACCCATGAGGCCACCACCACCAGTGCCACACACAGCTCAGCCACCCTCCTCAACCCTAGAGACACATACTGCAGGGGGGACCAGCTGGACATCCTGCTGGAGGCCAGGGACCACCTGGGACGCAGGAAGGAATATGGAGGGGACTTCCTCAGGGCCAGGATGTTCTCCCCAGCCCTGAAGGCAGGCGCCTCAGGAAAGGTGACAGATTTCAACAATGGCACCTACCTTGTCAGCTTCACTCTGTTCTGGGAGGGCCAGGTCTCTCTGTCTCTCCTGCTCATCCACCCCAGTGAAGGGGTGTCGGCTCTCTGGAGGGCAAGGAACCAAGGCTATGATAAAATTATGTTCAAAGGTAAATTTGTTAATGGCACCTCCCAAGTCTTCACTGAATGTGGCCTGACCCTAAACTCTAGCTCTGAACTGTGTACCTACCTGTATGGGAGAGACCAGGAAGCCTTCTACTGCATGAAGCCTCAACACATGCCCTGTGAGGCCCTGACCCATGTGACCACCATGAACAGAGAAATTTCTTATCTTTCTGTCAAGGAAAAAAGGCTTTTCCATAAGTAAGTATATTTTAATACAATGAGTGGTGTCCCCAAGCAGAGCTACACTGCCTATCTCAATATTAAGCATGATCTTCTCAGATGCCTCCTCTATTCTAAAGGTTATAACCAAACATGCGGTATCTGCATGGAGACCAGTGTCCATGACAGCACACCATAGTGTGCATTTTGATTGAAATAGGCTCAAGGCGGGCTACATAAGTTGGAACTATATAATATATATATACCTGTACTTCTAAAGGAAACCAGTATTGTCACATTTGACCATATATTTTACTTAGACATAGGTTTTAAAAAAAATATGCTCCGTGGAAAACAGTTCTGCTGTATGTTCAAATATATCACCAAAAAAGGATTCCTTGATAAGCATATCATAAGATCATGTTCCTTTACTTCCCATGTCATATTTCACAGATTCTAGCATTTAAGTGATTTTTTTTTCATTCATCCATTTCTCTCCATGTCCAGTGCTGCTAACCAAGTTGAGACCATCATCATCTCACCTACATGACTGAAATGGCTTCCCACTTGGTCTCCCTCCCATCATCAATCACATCCTCCTTGAACCCACTCTATACTGCAGCCTGAGCAATCTCTCTAAAAAGCCAACTCCTGTGGGTCATCTCCAGTTGATATCATGATCAGAGATGCCTTAGTACACAGTGTTCATGGTGGAGGAGTCCTTCTACCTCTCCACATTGTGACCTATCAGTTCCTGGAAGCCCTGGTTGAACAGACTCCTCTAACCCTGGTGCCCATGTTTCCCCTATCCATCTTGGCTGTAGCCACACTATGCTTTTCTCCCCCACTCACAAACAGATGCTCACTCTCTAATCTCCTTATTCTCCATTGAAATAGGAAACACTTCATTCCTGAGAATGAACTATCAGGACTTCTTCATGGACCACTTTGATGGTTTGCAAAAGGAGACTGTCATCACAAATCCAAAAACTGTGAGCCAAGCCTGGACACCTATTAGTCCTAGAATCTTTTATTCATTTTCAAACTTTCCATAAGCCTCAGTCTACTTCCTTTTCACTTTCCAGTCTGCCAAATTCTGTTTGACTGTGCCACGATGACTTATTTTCCCTTCATTTGGTGACAGTACAATGTTATATTCTGAGCAATTTCTTTCTTAGAAAATTTCAAAGTCAAGCTCAGATTCTTTTTTTCCTTAAGCTTTCAAAAAAAAATATGATTATGAGAAATTAGAGCGGAGACCAAGCCTGGAAAATAAAATGCATTCCAGAATCTTGCCCAGTTTTCCAAATTTTGATATCTATTCAACTCACTAAATCTCAAACTATTCACAATTCTGAAATGAGGCAGAGAAGGAGAGAAAGAAAGCAGAGCTGGAGTGGGAGGGAAGGGAAAGAACTGACTTTAGTTCTAAGTTGCTGGAGTCACAGGTGGAGACTTCAGACCAAACTGGAGAAAACTGTTCCTACCTTTGTGGAGTATTTATAGATGTTATCCAGATAACTAAAAGAGATGTTGAATGTTAACATCAGCAGAGCTCTTTGAAGTATCATATTCACTACCTCTACCACAATGAGGAAATGATGAGAGTCCTAGGAAAGACCACACACACACAAAAACACAATTACATGAGGAGTCCCTCTGTACTCACTGTTTTGTTTTTAATCTCCTTCTAAGCACTAATCATCTTCATGTCTAAATCACAGCAAGGATGAGACTATGTTTTACCCTTTCCTTTCATGACTGGGCCTAAAATACCCCCCTAGCAGAGAACAGAGTACATCTGTTGTACTGGGTACCTGAGCCCTCCTCCCCATAACCTCTCCCTGCCTGCCTCTATTTACACACATAATGTATGTTGGGTTGAAGAAAAGAGAGGGTAGAGGTAAGAAAAGAAGTTTGAAGTAGGAAGAGTCAGTTAGTCTTCATCAAGTGGAGGAAAGAAATACAGTGTTCTTTTATTCACACATCAGTGTGAACACTACTTTCTGACAGCCACATTGATGGATATTGAGGATACAGCAGTGAACACAGACAATACATTACCTTTCTTCACATGATCCTCAGAAAGCAAATATGTAGGAAAATTGAACATATCTTGAAATATGGCTAAAGAGGGAAGCAGAGGCTCTGTGATAAGGGGTCTATGTGCCAGGATAAGGAGCCTGGACTCCTGCAGTGATAGGGAGACAATCAAGGTTTTTAAAGAATAAAGCAGTTGCATTTGCAATTGGACAGGGTGCTCTGGTAGTTGTGCTGGAGAAATTAGGTGAGATAAAACTTAGGTTGACCAATTAGAGGTTCACAATAATTTTAAAAATGTATTACATGAACTTGAATAGGTGATGTGAAGGCACATAGAGATTATGCAGACTAAATAATATTAAGAATTTAAAATTCTATGACACACTAGTGCATATCATTACATGTGACAGATGAGTAGAGTTGCCCTGGACTTCAGGTGCTCCCAGCAAGAGAGAAAACCTTTCAAAATCCTAATTTATCTACAGTACTCAATTTATCCAAAATATACAGCAGAAATAATAATTTTTAGTTAAAGAAAGTTAAAACTATCCTTGCTTAAAAATAAGCAAGTGTTGCCTGGTGCCTGTGCTATGTGAACATACAACAGGCTAATCTATTGTCTTATTTTTTGAAGGACCAAAGTGGGAGTTGAAATGATGAAAGATCTTGAACATATCAATGTCTCCCATTGTAACAGTAAGTCCACTTTTTCCTGTGATGGGTAATGTTTGGCATATGTCTTACACAGAGAAAAATTATCAGAGTTAATTCTTTTAGCTGTGCTTTTCCAGGAGCATAATCCCTAACAGATGTCAGTGATCTTAATCATGCTAGACTTCATAGGGAGAAATCGTTTCAAGGAAATTAGTTTAGACTCTTCATTCCAGATTTCATCTTGATTTATCCTAAAAAAAGAAAGTAAAATATCCTACATTCATCTCCCAGAGTCTGAGGTTCTGTGCAAATGCCTTTGATAGCTTCAGAGTGAGAATACTGTGGTTTTAGTTTCTTGATATCTGCCGGCATAACCTCCTAATTTTAGTTGATGTACTTAATTTTATATGGAGCTTCCATCTTATTAAATATTTTAATGGAAAATACAGAGCAATGTTATATATGAAAGTATACTGTTTATATTTATTTATAACTTAGCTTTAAATAACAGTTTATAAAGCCTGAGTTTACCAGTAACATTAGTATCCTAGGCAACTTATAATGATATATTGTCAATATTTATTCATTTATTCCTCAAGTGTTTACTGAGGGCCTGATAAATATGAGGCACCATGAACAAATGAAAAAAAACTGATCTTGTGATCTAAAAAGGTTCTTGTTATAAATGTACCAACTCTATGAAGAAAGCAAAATACAAAATACAAGTATGTAGGAAAATTGAACATATCAGGAAATATGGCTAAAGAGGGAAGCAGAGACTCTGTGATAAGGGGCTTATGTGTCATCATAAGAAGCTGGGACTTGTCATTTTAAAATTATTTTAAAGTTAAATATATTTGACTGAGCCCTGAAGGTTATCAATAGTCAGAAATTTCAAAAAGATCATGGGTAGAGTTGCCAGATTGAAATGTATAATACAGGGAATCAGTTAAATGTAAGTAATTTCTAATTTCCACTGTATATATACATTGAGATAAAGGAAAAATATTGCATAACTCATACACTAAAAAAAAGTCCTTCACTAGAATAATTAAGTGTCCAGTATTTTTAGTGTGAGAACTTTTTACTGTATAATTACTCATAAGCAAAATTATGTGAGACATTGTGTTCATAAGCCAATGGAGTGAGCATATGGTAGAATGTAGCAGAAGATAGAGCTAGAAAGAGAGGAATAAGCTAAGTAAATAAACTGTGATGAGTATTACAGTGTTTATTTAGAAGGCTAAAGAAAGCCACTGAGACCAACTGCGCAAGACAGTGGTATGATTCTCCTTGTGTTTTATAAAGCAAATTCACAACTGAAAATAATAAGCATGACCTACACAAAGACGATTTAATTTAAAATGTTACTTTGCAACATAAAATAAAATTTATACATAAAAGAAAATATACTCTTTCTGTTTGGGATGATTTCATGTTGAGAAGGTATCAGTTTCCTCAGCACTAGTTTCTTCTTGCTGCTATAACAAGTGGCTTTAAGTAAAAAGAACATATTTTCTTAGTGTTATTATTCCAAGGTACAACATCAATCTCACTGAGCTACAATCAAGGTGGAACAGGCCTGTGTTCCTTTCTAGAGGTTCTAAGGAAGAATTTGTTGTAACTTTCAGCTTCTTTATAATGGCTGCCTTCCTTTCTTTTAGCGCCATCTACCATCTCCAAAGCCACAATAGTAGGTCAAGTCTTCAAGTTACAAAGTCCCAGTCCACCTGCTGCTTCCTTCTTCCACCATGGAGGACCAATGAGATTAGACTGAACTCCTTTTCCTAGATAATCTAGGATTATCTAGATCATCCATCTCGAAACCCATACCCTTAGTTACATCTGGAAAATCCCTTTAGCCATCTGTAATTTTTTCCCTTGATGGCAACATATTCATAGATTTAAAGAATTAGAACCCAAATATCTTTGGGGGGTATAGAGTACTCAACACAATCTGTAAAGTAATCAAAAATATGGAGATGGAAAATATTTAGTAACTGTGGGTCTCAAGTTTCTAGGGTTATAGTATTCAATTATCCATAATGCAGAGCTATCAAGCCCCCTAGGAGCCCAACAAGGTCACATTGAAATTCCAACAAAATCATAGGATTAGGAAGGCTCCATTTAGCAAGCAAAACCACCAGGATTTAAGAAGTATTTTAAGTACATTTTTCAATTTGGGTGTGGTTCTGCACATTAAACCCAGGGCCTCACCCATGCTAGGCGAGCACTCTACGACTGAGTTACACCCCCAGCCCACATTTTCTAGTTCTGAAAACAGTACCATTTTGCCACTCTGTCTACCAATTACAACTATATTTGGTATTCATGGGGGTTTGGTTTTGAGAACCACTGTGTACAACAAAATCCTTACAACAATAATATGGCATGGTATTTGCACATAACCTAGGTACATCCTCCCATATACTTTAAATCATTTCCAGATTACTTACAATGCCTAGCAATGTAAATTTTTTTGTAAATAGTTGTCATACCATTTTGTTTACAAAATAAAAAGAAAAACTTCTGTACATATTTGATAAAAATAAAAGTTTTTCCTGAATGTTTTCCATCCATTATTGAGTGCAGCGCACAAATAAAAAACCCATGGATATGAAGGGCTGACTATACAGTATCTCCATGTATAATATAATATTCTGTGGACACAAGCAACCAGAGACTGCAAGGTCCATAAGGGACTTAGCAAGGAAGATAAAGCACAGAGTGCTGGTAATTTCCCAATATCCATTACCTCCTCCTTTTTAGTAAGAGTAACCATTATTTGAGCTGGAACCATGGCCACTTTTCCTTGTGGCTACTTAAGCTCACATTACATTTTTCTAAGTGTATGAACAGAAATTGTCTGGGGAACTTATAAGTAATGCCTTTAATGGCAAAACCACTTGCCTTCCTCTTCCATTTGTCTCCTTGCTACTAGCTGAACTGTAGATAAAATGTGAGAAAGGAAACTGCCCTGTTAGACTGAAAGAATAAAAACATATGTTAAGAACAGTAGAACAACAAGATAAGAGAAAGAGAAGTCCCTCACAAGATGCAATAACACATTAACCTTGGCCTGGTCACTCTGAAACTTATGTGAGGGACAATACATTTCCAATTTTAACACATTATTTTGGCCTATTTTACAGCATTCAACTTGTTTCCTATCTAGTACAGGAAGTGAATGTAATACAGAAATGCTGATGTAACAAAATCTAAATTATGAGCACTGGACATACAGGTCAGTGGAAAGGTGCTTGCCTTGAATGCATGAGACTTTGGGTCCAATTGCAAGCATTGCAAAAAATACAAATAAAAATAAAAAACCTAAAATATGAGACAATTGCTCGGCAGTAGGGCAACAGCATAGAGAATGGCAAGGAAATATGATGTAGACATTTGATGTCCTTTGTTATGCCACAGCGAAGAGTTGGTCCTCTGCCACGGGGGATATCTTTGAAGGCAGACAATGACAGAGCCTGCAGCTATAGAGGAACAGGCTGCAATATCTCAGAATCATGGTTTCTGTTGGGTGCTGCATGACTCTTTTTATTAAGGTCCTATTAAATTTTTTAATAGGACCTTAATAAAACTGCATTAAGTCAATCTAGGTATTTTATAGGGCAGGAGACTGCCCTATAAGGTTTTTAAAGGGTACATGTTACATTTAAGCCATCTTTTAAACATGAAAAAACTCATACTATTCCTTCATCGATGGAACAAATGTAAATGACTCAATAACAAAGACACCAATGGGTAGTTCACTGACATTCAGATTAGAGAACCAAATTAAGTCACTGCAGAATCAGAGGAATGGCAAAGAAAGGAAAGGTCATGGAGACTTAGCTAATGACCACAGGTGGGAGAAAATGAACAGGGAGGAGTCAGCATGACTCCAAATCTCTCAGAAGAAAGAGTAGTAGTGCCTAAAACAGGCTGGTGATCATAAAAATCTCCAGTAAGAGACAAAAGACAAAAGCAGAGGGAGAGAGAAAGGGACCAAGAAAGGGAAGGACCAAGAGAGGAGGCTGGATGTTTGACACATGCCACTGACACCACTCACCATGAGATCTCTGTGACTAGAGAGAGAAAAGAGCACAAAGAAATGCCAAATTGGAAAGAAGACTCCAGCCCCCGGGGGATACACATTACAAGGAAGGTGGATAACAACATTTTGCGACCAGATTCAACTAGATAGAAACAAGATCAATGGCTGCTTGAAAGGAAAACTCATTTACCTGCTGGGAGATTCCACACTGCGTCAGTGGATCCACTACTTACCCAGAGTTGCAAAAAGTATGTAGTTACTTTATGTTCTTTTGGAAGTTCAGGCTAATCATAAAGTAATTTCAACGAGGTCTCCATCTATTCTCACTTAGGCTGTTTGTTGTTGTTGTTGTTGTTTGGTTGGTAATTTCATTTTTCTTTCTAGAGTTAAGTCTTAATTTAAAATCTATTTCATTCCCTCTTTCATAAGAAATGTTGCTCCTCCTTATAAATGCCAATGAAAATTTTACATTTTGATTGACATTTCATACATATAAACTGGTAATTTATCCTAGAGGGTAGAATGCTCCCAACAAAAATACTATAGATGGTGATTATACATGACATGGTAGATATTCTTTTTAAAAGTATCAACCACTGCCTTCTAGTTAAAGATCTTATTTTTTTTTTAATCAGCACTGAAATTTTTTGATCTTCATGGAACTGGACCTTTTAAGAAACATTTGCTTCTGGATGCTGAAAGACATACTCAGATACAATGGAAAAAACATAGCTATCCTTTTATCACTTCTCATCTTTACTCTGTGACAGAAGAAGGTTATATCCCTCAGGAAATTGACCAGATTTCGGGTGACAAAAACACAGCTATTGTCATAACATTTGGCCAACACTTTAGACCTTTCCCCATTGATGTTTTCATTCGCAGGGCCATCAGTGTTCGAAAAGCTATCGAACGACTATTCCTAAGAAGCCCAGACACTAAAGTGATCATTAAGACAGAAAATATCAGGGAGATGCACATAGAAACAGAAAGGTTTGGAGACTTCCATGGTTACATTCAGTATCTTACCCTGAATGACATTTTCAAAGATCTCAATGTAGGTGTCATTGATGCCTGGGACATGACCATTGCATATGGCACCAATAACGTCCACCCACCTGATGTTGTGATTGGAAGTCAGATTAACATGTTCTTAGACTACATTTGCTAAAGAAAATATTTGCAAAGTCACTAGGAACCAATTTTCACATCCCTTGTGTATTGTCAATGAAATTCTATTCATTTTAAGGACCAAGACAATCAAACTTAAAAGAACCTATCCATGGAATTATTTGTGAGAAAGACAATAAGAATGGAGATGAGATACAAAGTTAAAAAAATCATACATTAAGAATGATCATACCATGCCTGAAGTATGAATATGTGTGATAATGAGTGTTTTCATATTTGAAGCAAGTTTGGGTAATGATCTTTGGTTACTCTTGGCTGAACCAATGGAAAAGTAGAAAAGAATAAACATGTCATCATCATGATACTTTAAAACAGTCACCTAACATCCTCTGTAAAGATATAGATAGTAACTATTTTGGAATCTGCAGGCTATCCTGCCTCTGTCACAACTGCTCTACTCTCCACTGTAGTGCAAAAGCAGCCACAGATGACATGTGAACAAATGAGTGTGTTGTGTTTCAATAAAACTTAATGAATGGACAAGGAAACTTGTATTTCATATAATTTATACTTGTCAGGAAATATTATTATTTTGATTTTCACGAACTGTTCATAAATGCAAAAACTATTCTGAGATCACAGGCACTAAAAAAAGTGGTAGTTGTATTTGGCCTCTAGACAATATTTCTCTGTAACCTGATTAAATTAAAACTAAAAATTCAGAAAAACTGAACAAAAATCCTTCATATGTTGTGTAGAAAACTAATAATAAAGTAGAAATAAACAAAAATTACCTAACTTGAGAAAATTTATCTACCCAAAAACTACAAGTAACATCACTTCTTGAGGGAAGCACAAAAATTATTTCTTACTAAGTCAAATACAAACCCAAGAACCTCTCACTAGCTGTATCCACCCGTGAACTGCAGTACATATCAGAAAAGAACAGAGTAACTGCTCCTATTTCATCATCCCCTTAGGAAACAATCAAAAGCCTAAGTAGAAAAAGGTGCTCTCACACAAGTTCAATATACAAAACCTAACAGCTTCTTTAACAGTCAAAATTATATGACATAATTAAAACTACATGGTATCTCTGCATAAAGATTGTGTACATCTTTCATTATACTTAATCCTAGATATTTGGTACTTTTGATCTACTGTATTTTAAAAATCTTTACTGTCTTTCTTATTCCCATTCCCCCTTCCATCACTTCATTCCCCTTTGTCTAATCCAATGAACTTAATATATTGTTTATTACCATTCTTAAGTACATGTATAGATAAGTAATACTAGTATTATTATTATGCAAGTATTTTTAGTTTATTGGATAAAGTAAATGAATATATTAATGACATTAGGTAATTAAACTTTCAGTGTAAAAATGAGATGTAAAGTTTTCAGTTTTAAAAACATGCTTAATTAACTTGAAAATGAGTAAAAAAATTCATGATTCTAATTTTTTATGTAGATATTTCCTAGCTCTATCCATAAAAGGCCTAGAAACTATAGTAATATTATCAGGAATCACTCCCAGAACAAGAAGGCATCCTTAGAGGAAAGGCTGAATCTAGGATAAGGGCAGGACAGACATGTATATATAGAAAGGATGAGCCTCAGCATCTTCTTATGCCAGAAAGCAAATTATCAAAGACACAAGGAGTCATATAATAGCACACAGGAGTAATCCAAAGGCTCTCTTCATTGGCCAAAGATGGGACAAATTTATCAACAAAAGGAATAATAGTTGCAGTTGATTAAAATATACACTATACAAAATCCCTGAGTTCATAATAATATTGAAAACAGAGAGGTATATGGAAAAGCAAAAACTAAAGTGCTCATGAGTCATTAGTGAAGATAGCAAACTTCTTACTCTGAAAGTTGGCAATTAAAGGGAAATATATGAGCACTTGTACTCTTTCCTGTTTAAAAAACAGCCAGTAGACATAAAAATTGAAGGAAAGTTTCTCTTTGCAGAAAAATTATCATAACGCATATGGAAGAAATGACAGAATTAGGGAACCATATTTTATTTTTTTTATTATTTGTTTTTTCTTGGTTATTCATGACAGTAAAACATATTTTGACATATTATACATACACAAAGTATAAATTCTCATTTTTGTAGTTGTACATGGTGTGGAATTACACTGGTCATGTATTCATATATGAATATAGGAATGTTATATCTAATTCATTATTCTGTCTTTCCTACTCTCATTTCCCTCCCTTCCCCCCCTTCTCCTTTGTCTAATCCAAAGAACTTCTATTCTTCCCTACCCCCTCCATTATTCTGTGCTAGCATATCAGAAGAAACATTTAGCCTTTGTTTGGGGGGGGGGATTGGCTTATTTCACTTAGCATGATAGTTTCTAGCTCCATCCATTTAGCAGCAATTGACATAATTTCACTCTTCTTTATTGTTGAGTAATATTGCACTGTGTGTGTGTATATATATATATATATATATATATATATATATATATATATATTATATTTTCTTTATCCATTCATCTGTTGATGGGTGCCTAGGATTAGTTCCATAGCTTAGCTATTGTGAATCAAGCTGCTATAAACATTGATTGGATGTGTCACTATAGTATGCTGATTTTAAGTCCTTTGGCTACATACTGAGGAGTAGGATAACTGGGTTAAATGGTGGTTCCATTCTAAGTTTTCCAAGGAATCTCCATACTGCTTTACACAGTGGTTGCACCAATTTGCAGTCCCACCAGCAATATGAGTGTAGCTTTTCCCCTGCATCCTTGCCAACATTTGTTGCTACTTGTATTCTCAATAATTGCCATTTTTATTAAAGTGAGTGTAGTTTTAATTGGCATTCCTTTAACTTCTAGAGATGTTGAACTTTTTTCACATATTTGTTGACCATTTGTATTCTTCTGTGAAGTGTTTGTTCAGTTTCTTTGCCCATCTATTGATTGGGTTATTTGTTTTGTTGTTGTTATTGTTGTTATTTGTTGGTTTGGCATTAAGATTTTTGAGTTTTTTATATATCCTGGAAAATAATATTCTATCTAAGGTACAGGTGGCAAAGATTTTCTCCCATGCTGTAGGCTCTCTCTTCACACTCTTAATTGTTTCTTATGCTGAGAAGAAGCTTTTTAAAAGGTGGGTTCCATCCCATTTATTGATTCTTGATTTTACTTCTTGTGTTTTAGGAATCTTGTTAAGGAAGTCAGTTCCTAAGACAATATGTTGGAGTATTGGGCCAATCCTCCTCAAATCATCCCATGAAATAGAAAAGGAGAAACTCTTTCAAACACATTCTATGAAGCTAGTATTACCCTGATACCAAATCCAGACAAAGATACATCAAGGAAAGAAAAGTTAAGACCAATATCTTTGATGAACATAGATGTGAGAATTCTCAATAAAATACTGGCAATTGCATACAAAAACACGTTAAAAAGATAATACCCCATTATCAAGTGGATTTCATTCCAGGGATGTAAGGTTAGTTCAAGGTACAAAAATCAATAAATTTGTACCATCCACTTCTAAACTTGGATACAGGAATAGAGAATAGAAGTATAAGAAGATTATTTTATTTTGTCTAGTCTCCCTATCTCCAGACCCTAATGGGAATAATGCTTTATAACTTTCCAAGTTTAAGATTAAATGAGAAGATGAACAAAAAACTCAAGTGCAATTTTTGTATACACTGAAAAAATTATTCATTTTTTAAAATGATTTCCAATAAATAGTATTTTGTCCTTTAGGCTGAGTTCTGAATAAGCTGAGAAATTAGAAAAGACTAAGCAAATGGAGAATGTATTAGGATTCTCCAGAAAGACAGAACCAACTATATATATACACATAGTTGTCCCTTGATTTCTAAGAGGGATTAGTTTTAGGACTCCCTGTAAATACTAAAATTCATAGATGTCCAAGTGCCTTATATAAAATGGTGCAGGCTTCGTGTATAACCTGTGAACATGCTCCTATATACTTTGTATCATCTCTAGATTACATAGACTAACAATGCAATGGAAATGATATATAATCAGTTGTTATATTGTATTATAAATGATGACAATTATAATAGCAACAAAAAAGTGTACAAATTTAATATGATTCTTGTTTTAAATATTTTTGATTTGCAGTTGGTTTAATCCAAGGATGTAAACCTTGCAGATAGAATGGTTGACTGTATGAAAGGGGATTTATTAGGGACTCAATCATGCAATCATGGAGGCCAAAATGTCTCACAATGGGTTGTCTGCAAGCTGGAGAACTTGGAATACCTGTAGCTGACTTGGTACAGGTCTAAAATGCCTCAGTACAGGAAAGCTGATGGTAAAATTCTCAGTCCAAGGCTAAAGGCCTGAGAACCTTGGGGGAAGCTGGGTGAAAGAGTTCAAGTCCAAAACTGGAAAGCCTGGAGTTCTCATGTTCAAAGATAATAGTAGAACAGCAATGTCCTAGCTCCAAGAGACATTGTCCTATATTATTAGCTCCTAGCTGACTGGAATATGCCCCCACACATTGAGAACATATCTGCCCCCTTCTATCCACTTACTCACACTAATGTTTGGAAACACCCTTACAGACATATACAAAAATAATGGTTTACCGGTTCTTAGGTATTCCTTAATTCACTCAACTTGACATCTAAAATTAACTATCACAGAGAACTAATCCCCCAAAATTTACTATTACTCATCCCAAAAAATGACAAAGTAGGCATGAAGGGAGTAGAAAGTAGGAAATAATAAAGATCACAACAGCAAAAAATTAAACAGATACTAGAAAAGAAATAGAAAGACCAAGAAAAATCAAGATTTTTTTAAAAAAAGAAAAATAAACTTGATAAATGTTCATTGGAAAAAGAAAAGAACTCAAATAAAATAATAAATGAAAAAGGAAACAGTACAATTGATATCATAGAAACATAACAGATTATAAAATATTATGGTCAATTTTATGCCAACAAGTTGGATTACTTCTATTAAATGGATGAACTCCTGGAAACACCCAAAATACTACCCATACGGAAGCATGGAGAAGTAGAAAGTCTAGTTAGATCTATAATGAGGAGATTGAACTAGTAAACAAAAATCTCCCAAAAAAGAAAGGCCCAGGTTTCAATAGCTACATTGCTGAATTCTATTAAACACTGAAGAAGAAATAATGTAAAATCTTCTCAAACTCTTTCAAAATATTGATGAAGGGGGAATACTTCCAAGAGCATTTTATGAGGCCAGCGTTATACTTCTAAAGCCAGACAAGGACATACAAGGAAAAAATTATAGGCCAGTATCCATGTTGAACATAGACAGAATAGATCCCAACAAAATACTGAGTACAACAGCACGTTAAAAGGATGTGTCACTAATAGGGCATTATGTAAAAATGTGGATGTGTAACCGATGTGATTCTGCAATCTGTATTTGGGGTAAAATTGGGAGTTCATAACCAACTTGAATCTAATGTATGAAATATGATATGTGAAGAGCTTTATAATGTTTTGAACAACCAATAAAAAAAAAAAATAAAAATAAAAAAAAAAAAAAAAAAAAAAAGGATGTGTCACCATGATGAAGTGGAATTTATCTAGGGAGAAAAGTTTAGTTGCAAATACACAGAGCAATGGATGTAAGGCAGC